ATGATTTACTATGTACGTGTTCTATGATCTGGACTGAGGCAAAGAAAGACTGTTCACTATAAACCTCTGCTGCCCCCTATCCAACACAAAAGACGTATCTGATCAATTCTATTAGTCATCTTGAAATGAGTCGTGACTAAGGTAAAAATTCACAATTCCGTGAGTCCTCTGTAATGGATTGGGTTGGAGAAAAGCCTTTACTACTTAAAGTAAATATCTGGTATATAGAATATGTGCAATGGATATAACCTGAAATCGCTACTAGGATCAGCAATGGTTTTAGGTATTCGCACCAGCTGATCACTGAATTAGTGTCCAGCCTGGGTCTGCTTCAGCCTAAAAGAGGCCTCTTTTGCTGATGAGGAACAGGGGGGTTAAACACACACTGAGAATTATGAGGAGGCCAGCTAGTCCTCTTTCAGACTGCCAGGGGAAAAGTGGAATTTGTGTTCTAGGCAAATTTAGTGGCATTAGGGTTATTATAGTGGCCCCAATCCTTTTAATGTATGCTTGTTTCCTTAGTTTCTCAGGAAAATGAGTGGCAATCAGGCTATCGGTGACGTTACAGGGGCCTCAGCAGATTAGTTAGACCAGTATTTCCTGTCCCGAATGGGTTGGAGCTCGTCTGAGAAGCAGTCAGGCGCAGGGCCACTCTGTGGAAACACGAACTGGGACTTGCATTAAAAATGAGAGTCGGATCATTTCTATTTATAGCTGCACATTCACAACGGACTGAACAGAACAAAATCCAGCCGGTGCCCTGAAGACTGCACCGCGCAAGGGGAGAACCGGAGGAGGACGAGTGAAGGCAGAGGGGCCGTGTTAATTACCACTAGTATTTCCCAGGAATACAATTTTCTTATTTATTTGGCAGGTGCTTTATCGTAAAAGATGATGAAATGGGTTAAGATGAGCTAAATCAGTTAAAAATAGGCGTAAAAGATGATTTAAAGAGAACTAAAAATGTGGAAACACCCCAGCCCTGGACCAGGACTAAGCACCCCTGATATAAAGGCAATGACTAACAATCTGTACAGCCCACATTTTCCCTCTGGGAACAGGAAGGCACCTGCACAATGGCAGTGGCATCGCTCTCTGGAAAGTTCTCAAGCTGGTGTAAAGGTGCAGACAGGGATGCAGACACTCACCAGAACCCCTGACAGGACACATTTCGGGGATCTGCCCCACGGCCCAGCAGCGGCCCGTGTCACAGCAGCACTGCATCTTGGTGTACTGTCCCGTCAGCTCGCTTGCGCAGCGCCC